TCCTAGACACTAGAGCAAAGTGAGCCTGGAGCAAGTTACTGTTTCAGGGGGGGATGGAGGGAAAGCAAAGGTGAGAGGCATAAGTAAAATCAGAGTGTCTAGGAAAATTTAAAGGTAAGATATCCTAAAACTTCCAGGAAATCTCTACCAATGAAGCAGAGGGGGAAAAAAAGCCTCTCTTCTGTGAGCAACAAATCAAAGTGGGTTTGGGTCTCAGACAGTTCACTCATATGATTGCAAAGACACACAGAAATGCCTGGATTGGAGAGGGAACCCCTGAGGGCTCCCAGATTGAAAAGAGTGCAGGTCGGGCTGAGGGACCCACCCTCCATGCACGAATCTTCATGGACCGGGCCCCTAGTACAATATATAGATGATGTATTATAAAATTGTACACCTGAAACTCATATAATTTAATTAACCAGTGTCAACCCATTCAATTTAATCCTATCTAATAAAAGAGTAATATGCAAATTGACCATCACTTCAGCACATAGGATGGCCTCCCCCATGTGGTCAAAGATGGCTGCCTCCATGTAGACACAAGATGGCCACCACAAGATGGTCTACAGGGGAGGGCAGTTGGGGGTGACCAGGCCTGCAGGGAGAACAGTTAGGGGTTACAGGTCCAGCTGTGAAGGGCAGTTGGCAGTGATCAGGCTGGCAGGGGTGGGCAGTTAGGGGTAATCTCAGCGGCATTGATCAGGCTGGCAGGGGAGTGGTTAGGGCATGATCATGCTGGTAGGCAGAAGCAGTTAGGGGTAATCAGGCTAGCAGGCAGACAAGCAATTGGGAGCCAGCTGTCCTTGATTGTGAGAGGAATGTTCATGATTGAAGAGGGTGCAGGCTGGGCTGAGGGATCCTCCCCCTCACCACCATGCACAAATTTCGTGCACTGGGCCTCTAGTAAAAAATAAAATAAAATAAATAAACCTAACGTTCAGGTTTGATATACATTTTTTAAAGATCCTCACATATTGCTTCATAAATGGGTATTCTCAACAAATAGGAGTCCCTTCCCTTATCAGTCCAACAACAGCCTTTGCCCTGAGGATGGAAAGTGACTCTTGATTAGAGCTTCTGGTACATTTGGCACTTGTGCTCAAATTGACCCTGAAAAAGAAGTTCTTCTTTTCAACCCATGTTGGAATTGCTAAGAAGTAGTAGACTGATGCCATTGATGGTTGACTTTAGTGAAATTAGATGCAAATGGACTTCTGAAGAACTAAAAAATCCAAATAGACTAATAACAAATAAAGCTATTAATTTAGCAGTCAGAAACCTTCCTGAAAAGACAAGCCCAGGACCAGCTGACCCCAGTAGTGAATTCTAACAAACATTTAAATAAATTATTCATCACATACTCTTCCAAAAATAGAGAAAATACTTCCCTACTCATTCTTTGAGGCAAGTATTAGCCTGATAGCAAAACCAAAAATAACAATAAACAAAAACTACAGACGGATATTGTTCAAGGATATAGATGTAAAAATCCTCAGAAAAATAAAGCTAGCAAACCAAATTCAACAACACAACCAAGTGAAGTTTATCCCCAGAATACATTGTTGGTTTAACATCTAAATAATTCAATCAGCCCAATTGGTGTGGCTCAGTGGTTGAGCATCAACCTATGAACCAGGAGATCATTGTTCAATATCTCATCAGGGCACATGCCCAGGTTGTGGGCTCAATCCCCAGTAGCGAGTGTGCAGGAGGCAGCCAATTAATGATTCTCATTATTGATGTTTTTATGTCTCCCCTCCTTTTCTCTCTGAAATAAATAAAAATACTTTTTTAAAATTAAAAATAAAAAGTCTATCAATGAATTACACCATTTAATAGATTAAAGGACTGAAGTGCATAAACATGTCAGACACAAGAAAAACATTTGAAAAACACCTTTTCATTATAAAAATATTATAAAAATTAGTAATAGAAGGGAAGTTTCCCCACATGATAAATGGCTGATACAAAAAAAAAAAAAAAAATCCAACAGCTAATATATTTAGTAGTGAAAAACTAAAATCTTTCTAAGTTAAAAAATAATACAAGTATATGTACTCTTTTCTCTTCCATTCAATATTATGCTGGAGGTTCTATCCTAGGTAATTATCCAACATTGGAAAGGCAGAAATAAAACTATGTTTATTTGCATATGACTTGATTTTGTATATAGAAAATATTAAGGAGTATACACACACACACACACACACACACACACCACTTACTCACATACTATTAGAACTGCTAAAGGAGTTAGGATACAATGTTGCAGGATACAAGATCATTATACAAAAATAAAATATATTTCTATATACTTTTTTCCCCCATAAATTTTACTTCTCAGTTACAGTTTTGATGCCAGGTGGGTACTGGAAATATTGGACGCAACACTTTGTAAAATATTTGATGGTCTAACCATTGTGTGGCATGCCTGAAACTATTTCTATACACACTTAATGAAAAATTTGAAAATTAAATTAAGAAAATAATCTTATTTACAGTAGTATAAAAATATTACTTGGGCATTAATCTAACAAAAGAAGTACAAGATTTTACACTGAATTTTTTTGGAAGACATTAAGGAAAACCTAAATAAATAGTTAAGTAGGAAGACATCCCATATTCATGAATTGAAAGACTTCATATAGTAAAGGTGGTAATACTCACAAATTGGTTTATAGGTTCAGTGCAATATCTAGGAAAATCCATTGATTATTTTGTTCAAATTGATAAGGTGACCCTAAAATTCATAAAATGTAAGAATAGAAAAAGAAATCTTGAAAAAGACTCACAATTTTTAATTTTAAAACTTACTGTGAAACTATAGAAATGAAAACTGTGCGGTGCTGACATAAAAATAGACATATACATCAATAAAATAGAACTGAGTCCATAAATGTGTACATTTCTGCTTAATTGATAGTAAAGAATTGGGTATATACCTTGGCCAGTGCAGCTCAGTTGGTTGAGCATCCTTCCATGCTTGGTTAGGGCATGTGCCCAGGTTACAGGTTCCATCCCTGCTAGGGGGTGTGCAGGAGGCAGCCGATTTAAGTTTCACTCTCACATCCATGTTTCTCTCTTTCTTCCTCTCCCTCTCTCTCTATAAAGTCAATGAAAATATTTTTAAAATAAAAGAAAATGTGGTGTATCTATATAATCAAATATTACTTAGCCATAAAAAGGAACGAAGTACTGATAAATGGGTAAACCTCAGAACCATTGTGCTATGTGTGAGACGATATTTACATATTGAATGATTCCAGTTATCTGAAATGTCTGTAATAGATAAATCCATAGAGACAGAAAGTCAGTTGTGGTTTTTTAAGACAGGTAGTGGGAGAGTGGGAGAATGCTGCTAATAGGTATGGGCTTTCTTTTTGAGGTGATAGAAATATTCTGAAATTAGATAGCAGTGATGGTGACACAACTTTCTAAACATACTAAAACATCCTTAATTGTCCCCTTAAAAAAGAGTTGAATTTTATAGGTGAATTATATCTCATAGTTTTTTGTTTTGTTTTGTTAAATATCTCATAGTTTTTATTTAAAAAATGGAAGTGTAGTAGAAAGTTACCCACAAAAGTCTTTGCCATTTTTCTGGCTGCTATGTTTTCTTCAAACAATTCCTACTTTAAGTAGATTCAGCAGCTGGAAAGACACTTTGCCCTATCTTTTGTGTGAAAATCTCTGTCTTGTGTTTTGGTATCTGAGTTGGGGTTCCGACTGTAGACCTACTTGAAGTTTACTCACAAGGCTCCCTGATTAATTATAAGCTGCCTAAGTCTAATTTCTCCAATAATCATTTGGTTTCTATTTGACTATGTTGAATGAATTGAATAGATCTGCATGTTACGTGATCTTGGACAAGTTAGTTCACCTTTTAGAACCTTAATTTCCTTTACAATATCTACTTTTCGGCAGTGCGATCACTAAATGAGACCATAGAATTTAAGTACCTAGCCCACTGTCTCAACTGATGTAGGCTTCATTTAATGTTAGCTTCCTCTCTACTTCTTTCCCTCTGTTAAAAGCACATTCCTTACAAGTCAGGTCACTCATTTCTGTCCTGACTTTCTGCCTAGCAACAGATGGCCTTTAGAAATAAGCCATGAGTTGAGGTATTTTTTTGTCTTCTTATCTGTGTGTCCTCTGCTGTGCCTCTTCCAGTACCTGGAACACTGTAGGTGCTCAATGACTTTGGATTTTCTGTAAGACAGCACAAGTCTTTTACTTGGATTTTCCAGCACATTGCTGACAGGATTTCAGATTGTCAGCTTTAGTCTATGACAAATAAGCATGGCTAGTGTTCCTTTGGAGGCTGTTTTGCTGAGAGGCTGAGAGCTAAATTGAATTTCATACTTGAGGAGAGTGACAGTTGAGTCCTCCATCTCCCATAAAGGTTTCCAACACTTGCTTTCCAGCTAAACCTTTCAGGATATTTTAATCATCTATAACATTATCTTTTAATATGCGGCAGTGAAATGCTTAAACAATACTAAAGAACTCATCATTCATAGAGGCAGTCCCAGATTCCCATTGCCTTAGAAATGTTTTACTTATTAGGTTGTCTGAATACATTGTAGATTAACCATTTAAAGGCATATATTTAGTTCATTACTGTGTTCCTTCTTCTGCCTTTTTAAAAAAAAAATGAATGAGTAGTTAACCACTATGAAAAAATTTGGGGAGAGTAAAAATACCCAGCATTCAGGCCCATTTTTAAATGTCATTCCTGAGCAGCAGCTCACAGAGCCTTCAGCTGTACTGGAAGGAACTGCTCTTTGTCTAGATTGAGCCATTGAGGGCTACATTTGTGAAAGTCAAAACTACTATGATCAACGCAAAAACAAATACTCTCTAGCTATTTTTTTTCTTCCCAGGAAATAGAGAGATTGGCCACATGAAACCTGGCACTGTGCCCTGTGTTCTCAGTTCTGAGCAAACAAAACTAAAACTATAGATATCTTAATCTGTGCCTTCTCTTCCATGTCTAGGAGCGGAAAAAGAAATTTGAAAAGGATGGTGAGAGGTTTTATTCTTTGTTGGATCGACACTTACATCTGTCTTCCAAAAAGAAAGAATCTCAGTTACAAGAGGTATGTTAAAAAACGTGTCCCCCTTCCATTGCCAGCTATACCTTGTGGTAGCTTCCTACTGCAATGCTTTCATTTTATCCTGCCTCAGCTGAGAATCATGTATGATAGTATTTCTTGTAGTTAAAATCATGGCCTGGGACCCAGCTGTTCTGAGTTCTCAAGCCAGTTCCTCCACTGACTCACTGTATGATTTTGAAAAACATTTTTCTTTTTTGGTCTGAGTTCCCCCATCTGTCAAAGGAGGAGTGGTACTCATAATCTCCATAATCCCTTTCAGTTCTAAGTTTTTTATTTCATATTATACACAAGGATAGAGTTAAAGTAGTGTTGTATTTGGTAGATCAGGAACAGATGTACAGGTATTGAGATCCCTCCTACTTTGTTATTCATTCTCAGGATTGCTGTAGCTATTCGGGGTCTTTTTTTATTCCAGATGAATTTTTGGAAAGTTCGTTGTAGGTCTGTGAAATATGCTGTTGGTATTTTAATGGGGAGTGTATTGAATTTATAGATTGCTTTGGGTAGTATAGACATTTTTATTTTTTATTTTTTTATTGATTTTTCACAGCGAGGAAGGGAGAGAGATAGAGAGCTAGAAACATCGATGAGAGAGAAACACAGACCAGCTGCCTCTTGCACACCCCGCAACCAACGTACATGCCCCTGACCGGAATCGAACCCGGGACCTTTCAGTCCGCAGACCGATGCTCTACCACTGAGCCAAACCGGTTTCGGCAGTATAGACATTTTAATGATGTTTATTTTACCAATTCATGAACATGATAATGTGTTCCATGTGTTTATGTCTTCCTCTATCTCTTTTTTCAGTGTTGTGTAGTTTTCCTTGTATAGGTCTTTTATCTCCTTAGCTAAGTTTATTCCTAGGTATCTTAAATTTTTTGGTGTGATGGTAAATGGGATTGTTTTTTAGTCTCTCTTTCTTTAAGTTCATTATTGGTGTATAGAAATGGCATAGATTTCTTGGCATTAATTTTGTATCCTGCTACACTGCCAAATTCATTTATTAAGTCTAATAATTTTTTGATGGAGTCTTTAGGGTTTTCTATGTACAGTACAATGTCATCTGCAAATAAGGACAGTTTTAACTTCTTCTTTTCCAATTTGGATGCATTATATTTCTTTTTCTTGTCTTACTGCAATGGCTAGCACTATGTTGAACAGGAGTGGTGAAAGTGGGCATCCTTGTCTTGTTTTTGTTCTTAGGGGAAATGGTTTTAGTTTTTGCCCATTGAGTTTGATGTTGGCTGTTGTTTGTCATATAGGGCTTTTATGTTGAGGTATGATCCTTCTATTCCCACCTTGCTGAGAGTTTTTATCAAGAAAGGGTGTTGGGTTTTGTCAAATGCTTTTTCTGCATCAATTGATAAGACTATGTGGTTTTCATCTCTCAATTTTTTTCATGTGATGTATCACATTTATTGATTTGCGAATATTGTACCATCCTTGCATCCCTGGGATAAATCCTACTTGGTCATGATGTATGATCTTTCTGATGTACTGCTGGATCTGATTTGCTGGAATTTTGTTGAGGATTTGGCATCTATGTTCATGAGGGATATTGGCCTGTAATTCTCTTTCATTGTGTTATCTGTATCTGGTTTTGGTATTTGGGTGATGCTGGCTTCATAGAACAAGTTTGGAAGTGTTCCTTCCTCTTGAATTTTCTGGAATAGTCTGAGGAGGATAGTTTTCAGTTCTTTCTTGAATGTTTGGTAAAACCCCCCATGTGAAACCATCTGTCCCTGGTCTTTTGTTTCCCGGAAGCTTTTTAATGACTGCTTCAAATTTTTTCTACAGTTATTGGCATATTGAGATTTTTAGTATCTTCTTGAGTAAGTTTTGGTAGGTTGTATTTTTCTTAGAATGTGTCCATTTCATCCAGGTTGTCTAGTTTGTTTGAATAAAGTTGTTCATAGTATTTTTAAATAATCTATGTATTTCTGTGGGGTCTGTTGTTAGTTTGCCTCTTTCGTTTCTGATTTTATTTATTTGAGTCCTCTCTCTTTTGTTTCTTGGTGAGCCTGGCTAGAGTTTCATCAATCTTGTTTATCCTTTCAAAGAATCAGCTCTTGGTTTTGTTGATCTTTTGTATTATTTTTTTCTTTTTCTTTCTTTTTTTTTTTTTTTTTTTGGTGTCTATGTCATTCATTTCTGCTCTGATCTTTATTGTTTCCTTACTTCTGCTCACTGTGGGTTCTTCTTGTTGGTCTCTTTCTAATTATTTGAGTTGTCGAAGTAGATGTTTTATTACCATTTTTGAGGTAGACCTATAGAGCTATAAACTTTCCTCTCATGATTGCTTTCATTGTGTCCCATAGTATTTGCATTGTTGTATTTTTATTGACATTAATCTCCAGGATGTTTTTAATTTCTTCTTTAATCTCATTGTTGCCCAGGCCGGCTGCAGCTGCAGGAACCATGGGCTGATGGCTTAGCCCATGCCATAGCTGCAGGCGCCCGGGACTGTGGTGCAGGTGGCTTGTCCCTCTTCTGGGCTGCAGCTCCAGCTGCTGGCACCCAGGACCATGGGACAGGTGGCTAGTTTCTCTCCCTGCCACTGGTGCCTGGGACCATGGAGTGTGTGGCTTGTCTCACTCTTGTGCCTCAGCCTGGTTGGTCCCCCTTCCTCTCTCCCCAGTATTGAGTGTCTGAGCTGTTACTGTGTGAGGGTGTGATGTCCATTTGCATATTAGCTCTTTATTATATAGGATATCTTGTTGTAGCTCTCTTTGGGTTCATCTTTTTTTTCTTTTTTTCTTTTCTTTTTTTCTTTTTCCTTTGTGTTAATCTTGTTTGGGACTCTCTATGCTTCTTGGACATTAATATATGTTCCCTTCCCTAGATTAGGAAAGTTTTCAGCTATTATTTCTTTAAAAATTTATCTCACCCTTTCTTTCTCCTCCTTTTGGAATGTTAGGTTGCTTTATGTATCTCAGAGATTTCTTATACTATCCTCAGTTTAAAAAAGTATATATTTTTATTTTGTTTTTGATAGGATAATTTCCACTATTTTGCCTTCAGTTCACTAATCTGTCCTTCTGTATTAATAAAACTGCTGGGGTTTTTTTTATAATGTATTCTTCACTTTAGTAATTGGATACTTAATCTCTGATTGATTATTACATTTTCTATCTCTATTCAAGTGCTCTCTGAATTCTTCTATTCTATGCTCAAGTTCATTGAATATGGTTATGACTATTCCTTTGAATTCTTTATCTGGCAAACTACTTAACTGTTTTTCATTAGGATTTTCCTCTGGAGTTTTTCTTGTTCCTTCATTTGGAGTATATTCTTCTGTCTCCCCATTTTGTTTGACTTTCTGTGTCTGTACCTTTGAGTTGGTTTGAAACAGTGGTCCCTGTTAGTTTGTGTGTTGTATACTTTTAGCTTGATGGTTGTAGTTGGGGTAGGTCCCTGAAATATGTACTGTTTCACATGGTCTGAAGGAGTAGATTCTGATTTGGGTAGCCTGGTGTGTGTGTGTGTGTGTATGTGTGTGTGTGTGTGTGTGTGTGTGTGTGTGTATGTGTGTGTGTGTGTGTGTGTGTGTGTGTCTGTGTGTGTGTGTGTGTGTGTGTGTGTGTGTGTGTGTGCTTTCTTGCCATTCTAATATGGGGAGGGCTGCATGATGGGAGGGAGTACTTTGTGTATGCTCAGCATGTCCTGTTGTTTTAATTGTTTGAGCTGGGCTGTTCTGTATGATTGCTTTTTTGTATCACAACCACTTATTAGCACCACCCTTTCTTTTGGTGGAGCAGCCTTTTGCATACAAATAGCATTGCTTTGTTAGTTCTTTACCTTCTCTTGGCTTGGCAGCACCCCACTCACTCTGCATTGATCTGCAAGGTTTTGCTAGATCTATGTTTTCTTTGGCAGAGAATCCCCATGTGTTCATGCAGCAGTGCCCCCCTATCTCTGTACTTTCTTTGATGGGGCAGTTCTCTTTGCTGGCCCCACAGCTGATTTACCAGCTCCATACTCTTTCTAGGAGTAGCAGTGCCCCACTATCTCTGCATTTCCTCAAGGTAGGACATTCCTATAACCAGGGACCACAGTCTTTTGCTACCTCTCTATTCTCTCCAGGCAGAGGAGCGCCACATGTATGTGCAACCCAATGGGTGAAACATAACACTGAAATATAACCCTGCCACATCTGCTGGATCAGTCTCTGAGCTAAGAAACTCCTTTGATGAAAGCTATCATGTCCTCCTTCTTCTGTTTGATCTAGTTCCAGGAATGGTGGCTGAGGATGTGTTACAATGCCTGCAGGTTGGCCATAGAACATGGATGGAGCTTCCATCTGCTATCCACATGCCTAGGACCTGTAAATAATGATGTGTGCCAGTTCCTGTCATCCTGGGCTGTTCCCTCAGCTTCTGTAGAGCTCTCGTGGTTCCTCAGCCTTCTCTACCTCACCCCCCCACCCCGCTTTTCTCCCTCTCACTTGTTTGTTAAGCAAAAATCTATTGGGAAAAGGCTCTCGGTTGTCTTTCAGAAGGGATTTCTGTAAATATAGGGGTACATTGGATGTGTTTTTGGGAGGGTGCAAGCTCACTGTTCACATATGGCACCATCTTGGAATTACTAGAAAGTTCTTTAATATCTTATATAGGCTGCAGCAACAGCTTTGATTTTCCATATTCAAATATCTATACAGTTTTTGAGACATTGTTCTCTCTGATTTCTATTCTATGTTGTATCAATAGGAATTGTTGATTTTTTTACATTGTTCAGCTTTTTTTCTTGAATGACAATGGGCATGACAACTTAGAGGTTTCTTACTTTTGGGACCAGAAACTGAAATCTTGTGTCAATCATCTTTTATCTCTTGGCTTCATGTTCCCTAATTGTAAAACAAAGAAATAAGATCACTATTTGGTAGCTAAAATCTTCTCTAGCTCTAGCATTCTATTGATCCCATAAGTACTGACTTGCATGAATGACTATGCTGAATTGTAACATTTGCTACTTTTTTTATACAGGCAGACCTGCAGGTGGACAAGGAAAGGCACATTTTTTTCGAGTCCTCCCTTGATTATGTTTATCAAATACAGGAAGTTCAGGAGTCCAAGAAGTTCAATATTGTGGAGCCGGTAAGTTCTATCTGTTGGTTAATGCCCTAAAAATATTTACCAAATGCTTGGTAAATACAGAGAACTTTGATCATAAATTGGAACCTCGAGGAATGTGGAAGATAGTCCCTGTTTAAAAATGAATCTTTCCTTTATTGTTCTGTGCTCCCTGGCTTTTGCTGTCTCCCTTTAACACAGACACACACACACACACACACACACACACACACACATTTTATTTATTTATTTATTTAGAGAGAGAGGAAGAGAGAGATATAGAGAGATAGATGACAGAGAAACATCATCAATGGAGGCCACAACCTGAGCATGTGCCCTGACTGGGAATCTAAATGGTGGCCTCTTGGTTCCTGGCTTGATGCTCAACCTCTGAGTTACATTGGATAGACTCTGTCTCCCTTCATTTTACCTTATTCTCCTTTCTTTCTTTCTTTCTTTCTTTCTTTCTTTCTTTCTCTCAGGCTTTCATAAAGCCTTTTTAAATACTCATCATATCCCAGTCATGTGCTATAAACTCTGTTCTGTATACTCAATGACTTTCCATTCTAACATTTTTACTTCTATTTCCTTAACTTTTTCTTTACTTAAATCTGTTTAATTTATTATAAAATATGGTGTGCTTTGATTTTACAGTTGAATTTTAACAACTTGTTGTTATAACAAATGTATTCTTACTGCAGAAAACTATAAAAAATTATGAGAAAAACAAAACAAAAACCAAAATTCCCCATATAGAGATAATCACTGTTAATATTGTGGCATTTTCTTCCCATGTTCTCTATGTACCTATTATTAATACATTTTTTTTCTCTATCTACATATACCCATGTACTTGTAGACTCGGATGTGTGTATACCTATGTGTATAAACATGCATATATTGCAAACTAATATATGCATCCGTGTTTATATGTATCTGTCATTATATATGTCTGTTTATGTATATGTGCAAACATGTATTTATTCGCTCATCTCATAAACATTTATTGTGCTTCTATTATGTGTTTGGGCACTGTGCTAAACACTGGTTATGCTATAGTGAACAAGGCAGACTCAATTTCTGTTGTTATGAATGATACTGTCTCATGTCAGTAGACTAAAGGGAAGGAAAAATATCTGTACTAATAAAATGGTAATATGCTAATTAGACCAGGAGACCTTCTGGGAGACCTTCCGGACATCCTTCTGGACAAAGATATGTGGTGGGGCTGAGGCCGAGGCAGTTAGGAGGGATCAAGCCAGGAGGGGTGGGCAATTTGGGTGAGCAGGTCAGCAGGGGGGGGACCACAGCTTGGGGTGAGCAGGCTAGCAGGAGAGTCAATTTGGGGTCAAGCAGGATGGCATGGGGGGATAGTTGGGGGTGATTAGGCTGGCAGGGGGGTATTTGGGGGCAAGCAGGCTGGCAGGGGGGAGGTTGGGGTGAGAAGGCTATCAGGGGGCAGTTGGGGGCAATCAGGCCAGCATGATGGGGCAGTTGGGGGCGAGAAGGATGGCGGGGGTCAATTGGGGGTGACATGCTGGCAGGCAGAGTAGTTTGGGGCTATCAGGCATGCAGGCAGGTTAGCAGTTAGGTGAGTGGTTCCAGATTGCGAGAGAGATGTCCCACAGGGATTGGGCCTAAACTGGCAGTCGGACATCCCCCAAGGGGTCCCAGATTGGAGAAGGTGCTGAGGGACACTCCCCTCCCCCCCATGCACGAATTTCCTGCACAGGGCCATTAGTTCTATATAATAAAAGCCTAATATGCAAATTGACTGAATGGTGGAACTATTGGCAGAACAACCCATTGCTATGATGCGCACTGACTACCAGTGGTCAGACGCTCAACACAGAAGCTGCCCTCAGGCCACAGGCCAGCCAAAGCAGGTGCCAGTAAGGGTCCCCTGATCACCCTGCAGATCGCCCCACAGAGGGAGGTGACCAGCAGTGGCAGCGGAGGGCGGGGCTGATGAGCGGGCAGTGCCAGGCTGGCCAAGGCAGGTGCTGGCGGGGGGCTCCTAATCACCTCACATATCAGCCCTGATTGCCTGCTAGGCCTAGGGACTCTACTCATGCACAAATTTTGTCCAGCAGGCTTCTAGTACATAAGTAAAATAATTGTAAATTGTAATAAGCACTAAAACAACAAAAATGGGCAGCTACTTTAGATCTAGTAGTCAAGGAAGGCCTCTGAAATTGTCATTAAGATCTAAAGAAAGCAAAGATGAGGCCATGTGAATAATGGGGAAAGAACATTTCAGGCATAGAAACACAAACATACACAGTCCTTAACCTAGAAAAGAATGGTATAATCAAGGAATGAAATACTGGTGAGATATAAAGGAATCACAGCACATAATATCTGAAAGGAAGCCTTAGGACCTCTAGCTATGGTAAGGTGTTTTGATTGTAGTCTAAGGGAAACCTCTGATGGATATTAAGCAGGATATGATATGAGCTGATATTATATAGAGAATGGCTTGGAACAAGCCAATATTGTTACTGGAGAAACCAGTTAGGAGGTTTATAACAGTGCTTTAAGCAAGAGAAGAGGTTGGTTTGGGATACATTAGTGGTAGTGGAAATAGAAAACAATGGTTGGATTAGAGACATATTTGGAAACAACACTGACAGTAATTATTGATAAATTGGATTGAGATGAGAGTGAAAGAGAAATCAGATATTATTCTTTACATTCTGGTTTCATTGATTGGGTAATGTAATTACCTGAGATGGGAAAGCTTGGGAAAGAAACAGGAAGATTGTGTATAGCACTGTGTGTGATACACACACACACACACACACACACACACACATGCATTTATGTACATAGTTTTGTATGCGCTTATGTATATAAACATATATTTGTATTTATATATACATATGTGTTTATATGTATATGGTGTGTGTGCATTTTACTTGTGCTAACTTGTTTACTTTCTAAAAACTATATAGCAATTTTTAGTATTTTTTATTATACTTTACTATTGCCAGCATTGAGCATTATTTTTTAAATGTTTATATTTGATAGATAAAATTCATATTTTTTGTTTTTATTTATGTATGTTTGATTTTTAATGGGATTGAACATTTCAGATATTAAAATACTTATTGTTTGTCTTCTGCAACTCCCTCAATACTTTTCTCATTTAAAATTGGGTTTAGGCTCTTTGAATTTTTTAGCATTATGGCAGTCTTCATAAAGATACAGATGCTTACTTTATTCATTTATTTATTAGTTACGTATTCAGCAAATATTTATTGAGTACCTACTCTGCTAATCCTTAGCATTTAGAGAGAAAAGACACAGTCTGTCTTCATGCAGTCAAAATTATGAATGGTTTTATATGCTATCTGAAAAGGATCTGAATGAATACATTTGTTAGTAGTCCTTATTTTATGGAACTGAATTCAGTGTAAATAAGACAATAGCTATGTGTAGACATACTTGTGTTTGCATGACTGATTTTAAGACTATATTGGGTAAACACTGTGTAGAATTTCTTTTCTGTGCTTCTGTTTTCTTTATTTGATCAATGAGAAGGCTTTGGTGGTAAAGTTTTTTTTCCTTGTTTTCTCTAGGTCTTGGCCTTTCTCCATAGCCTCTTCATTTCCAACAACTTGACTGTGGAGCTCACACAAGATTTCCTCCCTTACAAACAAAAGCTCCAGCTAAGTTTGCAGAATGTAAGTTTGTATGTGGGCTTTTTACTTGACTCTGCATTACAATTGGATTTAAACCCTGATGACCTTGACTTTTGAATTCTAGGTTTTTGCACCCCAGCCAATTTGTCAAGACACACTGTAGAGCACAGATATTTTAGTGTACTGGATGGTTCTTGCTCTTCCATTATTAGCTCTTCCCTGTCTTTGGCAGTGATTGTTGCTCACTCCCACCCTCCCACCCACTGACAACTCTATCCAATATTTATTAAGAGTTGTTAATTTGCTATCTTTCTCCCAGATCAGAATTCAGTTATTGGCTTGTTTATGCACAGGTTTATGCTACTTTCCTGCTTATCAATCAAGACACTCTCATTGTAGGTTTTATTACAATGAATGCCCATTCCTCCCCCCCCCCCCCCCCGCTTCCTTTTTTCACTACTTATTACTAGATTTAACTAGATTATTTTCAATGGTTTTCTCCACTTCATTCCCATATTGGCCCTTATAGATGGGCATAGGCATAGCCTTCTCATTCTTGTTACATTTTTTCTTATTTATTTATTTATCTCACATTTAATGAATGCTTGTGGATATAAACATGCATATATAGTATGCCAGATATTGTAACATATAATGACACATGTTAATTTTTCTCTCTTCAATGAATATACAGTCTCTTGGTGCAGATAGACATAACCACAGATAACTCATAATGCCTTTTGATAAATGCTATAATAAAATTAAGAACAAAAATTTCAAAGATGCACAGAGTTTAACAATTGACCAACTAGTATAGTAAAAGAAGGCATCACTGAGGCAGTAACTTTGAGCTAGTTGTTTCAGTACATGAAATTTATAGGTGTATTTTTAGATGAAAATGGTAAGTGGCAGTGGAAATAAATTTGGACTTGTTTGTTTAGGAGGATCTTGACTTACAGTTGCTATTGTTGTTGTTTTTATTTCTGGGGACTCCCATTACTGGGGAATTTTCTTTACCAGATTATGAGAGCCCTTATCTTCTCCTGATTTATAAAGTATTCTTATAACCAGGTTAATCATTTGAATCTTCCTTCAAATATAGCTTGACAAGTATGAGTTTAGGAAGCCTTTGCATTAATATATATGCTTAACTCATTTAGAGGAATGGGTCCAACTAGATAAGGTAGCTCAGATCACCTTTGTCACTGTCATGTGATAATAATTTTTTTTTACATTTTATTTTTATTGTTGATAGTATTACAGATGTCCCCTTTGTTTGTGTTTTCCTTTTACACACTGACCCCCTCCACCTCATACCCTCCCCTTCCAGGCTTCACCACTCTATTGTCTGTGCCCATGGCTGATGAGTATATGAATATAATTTCCCCCAGTTAATCACTTCTCTCTCACCCCCTACCCCCACCTTCCCTCCGAAATTCATCAGTCTGTTCCATGCTTCTATGTCTCTGGTTTTATTTTATTCATAAGTTTGTTTACTGGATTCCAAATATGAGTGAGATCATGTGATACTTTGACTATTTCATTCCACTCCCTTCTGGCTTGAAGTGTTTCTTTGAGAAGTCAGCTAACAGTATAATGGGAGCTCCCTTATAGGTAACTTTGTCTCTTTTTGCAGCCTTTAAGGTTCGTTTTTTTTTTTTTTTTTTAACTTCATTTTAATCAATCAGAGTGTCAAACCTCAGAGGGACATAGGCACCGGGGGGTGGGGGGGTAGGGGGGGAGGGCATGAGTTGGGGGTGGTAGGCGAGCAATGGGGTGATAAGGACACATATGTAATACCTGAATCAATAAAGAATTATCAAAATAAAGTAATTATCAAAATAGTTACCTAAATATTTTTTAAAATTTGCCTAAGTGTGGGTTTTTTGGTTCAACTTGTTTGGGACACTCCGTGTTTCCTGAACTTGAGTGACTTTTTCTTTCTCCAATTTAGGGAAATTTCCTGTCATTCTTAGAATAGGTCCTCTATTCCTTTCTCAGATTCTGCTCCTTCTGGTACCCCTAAAATGTGAATTTCTTTGTTTCATGTTGTCCAAAAGTTCCTTTAGACTCCCTCTTGCTTATAAATTTTTTTTTTCCATTTGCTGCTCTGAATGTTTTTTTTTTTTTTCTACATTGTCTTCTCATTTGCTGATTCAGTCCTCAGCTTCTTCTAGTCTACTGTTGAATCCTTCTAGGGCAGTGGTCAGCAGTTTGCCTCTCTGTTGTCTAATGAGTTTGCCAACCACTGTTCTAGGGTGTTCTTTATTTCAGCTATGTCATTCCTTATTTCCAAGTGATTCTTATTTATTGTTACAACCTCTCTTTTCATGTTTGTGTAACCCTCATTAAGATCCTTATAGTTCTCATTAAAATGCTTGTAGGTCTAACTGAATTGTTTGACCACCCTTATTACCATTATTCTAAAGTCTTTATCAGACAAATTATTTACCTCCATTTCATTTAATTCCTTTTCTGGCAATTCCTCTTTTTCTTTCATTTGAAAGTTATTTCTTTGTCTCCCCATTTTTGGTATCTCTTTAATTTTGTTTCTATGTATTAGATCAAACTGCTATGCCTCCCAGATTGTGTGAGGTGGTCTTATGTAGTAGATATTTTATGTTACTCAGTTGTATGGTCTCTTAGATCTCCTGAGCTGGGTCCTCTAGGAATTCCCCTTGTTTGAGTTATTTGGGTTCTCATGTTATAGTTGGGTCTTGAATATTATTATCCAGTTTATGGATGGAGTCTTTTCTCAGGCTGCTGGCTATGTAGCTCACCCCTGACCACGTCTTGTGAGCTGTTGTGAAGATGCTGACTGAATGGAATAAAATACAATACAACAAAACACAAAACAGAAGAAATAAAACAAAAATGCACACAAGACCCCTACAGCACCAACAAAAGCAACCACCAGAGAATAGAGTATTGCAAAAGAGAAAAGAGCAATAGTGATAGAAAAAAAGAAAGGAAAATATGAGGAAAAAACAAAACAAAGCAAACAAACAAACAAACAACAGCAGTAACAAAAAACAACCCAAAAAGGGGGGTATGGAATATGTAGATGCAGAGCTGAAATAAAAAAAATAAAAATAGAGAATTAGGATAATACGGGAAGGAAAATGGTTTAAAATAATGAAGGGAGATAAATGAAAATAAAATACAAGAACATTTTTGAAAAATAAATTAGAGGAGAAAGCACATTGACCTAAAACAAGGAAAAAGTAAAAACATGAGAAAGCAGGAGAAAAAGAAAAGGGAGGATGAAAAGAGAAAAAAAAAGAAATAAAGAAAATAGTTGAGTAGAAAAAGGGAAGAAGAAAATAAGCTATATGAAGGAAAAAACAGACTAGAATAATAACAAATCAATAAAACAGATAAAGATAAATGCTAGAAGGGAAAAAGGAAGGAAAGAAAAAAGAAAGAGAAGACAAAAGGGAGGAAAAAAAGAAAAAATAAAAAAGGAGGAAAAATGTGAAGTGGCATTTGTTTCAGCCAAGTTTAGTGTCCCATGAGAACTCTCTTTGGACCCCACCCTTCTGTCTGCCAATTCTGGACTTCCTTTGAGGTACTTGGGTGCTAACCACTGTTAGGATCTGACCTTTTTTGGCTTTCAACAACCTGCTTGAAACTCCAAGTCATCCACATATGCACCTTTTGTGTCTGTCTCCACAGGCCTTGGCTGCATGCAGGAGGGGCCAGTCTGCCCTCTAACATAGGATGTTAACAGCATAGGACACAGGGCTGAGTCAGCAAACTTTCTCTGGTTCCCTGAGCTCCACTTCTGCCTGCCTTTGCCTGCTAGCCAACTGTCAATCTTAATCACTCAAAAGTCTGTTTCTGAAGGGGCTTTAGGCTGGGGAGGTGCTGTTTACCTTTAGGGAATGTGGTGGGTGTGTTTCTCAGTCCCAGAGCTACTCCTCTGTGAGTGGCCCAAAATGTTACTCTGCCCTCAGCTAGGCTAGGCAGAGATCCTTGTATGGAGATCAGCGGGGTGGCTAAAAACCTGGAGTTTTTATCAGTTCTCCTGTGCAGGGAAAGTAACCAGTCTGTTTATGCATAGTGGGTTGGGTAGTCCTTCCTCTAATCCAGTCACCAGTGCTCCTGAGATTGTTCAAACCCAAAGGTTGGCCTTTGCTTTTGTTTCCTCTGAAAAGGTCAAAATGCAGGGTCTGGCATGAGGGATCCTGATGGTGAAACAGGTGTATCATCTAGGGCAGGTTCCCCCCCCCTCCCCCCGCCCCTGCCATTCAGCTACTGGGAGTGCTAGTTCCTCTTAGCAAAAATGGCCCTCTAGTTTTGGGGGCCTAAGATGAAATACTCCTGGCTGCTGCTTTCCCACATACCCCTATAATGCTTCTACTCCAGCCTCTCCCTAGGCTCCTCAAGTCTACATGTCCCTTTCTGCACCCAAGTCTCCAGTGAGTAACTGCAAATGAATACTCCTGTGCTCTGGGGTTAAAAAACAGCAGCAGCAACAACAAAAACAAAATGAAACTTAGGCTTTCTCTCTAACTGCCTCAGATCTACCTACTCCAGACTCCACTGCAGTCAGCAACCCTGCCACCTTTCATGGCTGGATGTTATGTGGGCCTCAGGTCTTGGCTCTGGTGCTCTGGGCTGTGAATACCAGCCTGGGTTATGAGCCTCTATCTTCTGAGGGAAAAGATCCTCCTGTAACCCAGTGCTCCTTCTTCTCTCTGCCCCGCTGGCCTGCCGCCCATGGAAACTGGGTCACCTCCTCTCGTGACCTCACCCTTCCTACATGTCTCCACGTGTTTTCTGTTCTCCCTTGATGTAAGTCTCTTCCTCATCTGGACCTCAGTTGGTAATTCCAGATGAATGTGCTCCAAATTAGTTGTATTTTCTGTATAGCCCTGGTGCATGACAGGTCTGCCTGCTTGGTCGCCATTTTTTCTCTTCTCATGTGAAAATCTTGAAATTAAATGCTGTTGACCTCTAATGATTTTCATTCCCACATTTCATATTGTGTTTTGCCACTGTGTTTTAGTTTTGAATTTTTAAAATATTATTTCTTACCATTAGCTTTTGTTATTTATGGTTATGAAAACAGGTTTTCTGTTCATCTATCTTCAAAATAAGCACCCTTTCATACATTTTATTCTAATAGTCAGAATTTATATCAGAGTTCAGTAGGTAGTAACTTTACTTGAGGCAGAAGTTAGAAGTTGCTCTCTTGGTAAGGCAGTGGTCAGTCTCAGAATTCTAAGAGCCCTTACTTATTTGAGTCTTATGTGATTCCTATCAGAAAAAAAATCTCCCAAATGTGGTTTAATGGTATATTGTTATTTATGTTTGTTGCTCTTTTTGTGTCTTTACTGTTGTTCAACTCCATAAAATTGTTTTCTAGTCTTTATGGCATTCAACACATTTTTTTTTGCTGTTCTAACATATGATAAGAGCTAAGAAAACAATGGGTCTCTGACCAAAAATTGCTTATTTATGATGATGATGACAATATCTTGACAGACAAGAAATCATTTCTCCAGTACCAGAGAAGAGATGGAAGAACTTAAGAAAAGGATGAAAGAGGCTCCACAGACTTGCAAACTTCCAGGACAGCCAACAATTGAAGGCTATCTCTATACCCAAGAGAAATGTAAGTGGGAATACCTGGATAGCCACTTGTTTTAAGTAGACAGTCACCTACTGCTTCTTTGCCCTTCAAAACTTCAGGCACCAGTAATGACCACAGACCCCTGAGAACTATACCTTTTTGGAGAAAAGTTTGGGAATAGTAAAAATAAAAAGGAAACATAAATTTGAGGGGAAGTTTAAGTAATTGTTTTCCAAAGGCTCTGGGATAATAAGACCGCAGGTTTTCTCTGAGATTCAAAATGGTGATTGTTTTTTTTTAAAAATATATTTTTATTGATTTTTCATAGAGAGGAAGAGAGGGATAGAGAGGTAGAAACGTCGATGAGAGAGAATCATTGACCAGCTGCCTCTTGCACACCCCCTACTGGGGATGTGCCCGCAACCAAGGTACATGCCCTTGACCGGAATCGAACCCGGGACCTTTCAGTCTGCAGACTGACGCTCTACCACTGAGCCAAACCGGTGCTGACCAAAATGGTGATTGTTAATCACTTAGTCATTTTAATGACTCTTACTGTGGCAAAAAGGGAGATAAGGGAACAGAGGCAGAAAAATAAAATTTATTATACCTACTAAGTGCTCTAAGTACTGTATCTCATTTAATCTTTGAAACCACTTTGCCATTTTTCACATGAGGCCACTTTGGCTTAGAGATATCACTAGTTGAAAGTCAGCCAACTGTCAAGTAACAGCCTAAGAGCAAACTCATGTGTATGGAAAGTCAAAACCTTTGCTCATACCTCCATACTCTGTACCTTCCACTGCCTTAGGATTACATGGTTGCCCGTAAGTCACTAAATAATCATTGTGACTTCAGTGGGCAAGGCAATTGTTCACTGATAGCCAAGGAAAATGTGTTAACTTATCCACTCACTAAACATTGCAGATGATTCACATTTTCCTTCCTCCTAAATTACATTATGTAAACCTGTATGTATAGTTTGATTTTCCTTATGAACTATGACCTAATGCTCATAAAGCCTATGATTTTATTCCCTGCCCAAAATTATTCTACCTGGAAAGTAGGCAAAAGAGGCTACCCAGAGGTTTACCTGTGGCAAAATCACTGAATACACAAAGCATAATATCGTAGCAGTGATGTTATTTTGCTTTTCCTCTCTTAAGCAATTAACTTTTTATGGCTTTCAAAGATGTGTTCTTCCATTTGTCAGTCATTCCTTCAGCTTTGCCTTGCAGGATTTCTCAGTCTCAGCACTATTGACACTTTGGGATTGGTAATTTTTTTGTTTTGAGGGGGACATACTATGTATTATAGAATGTTTAGCAGCATTTATCCCCACTTTATTTTTTAAAAACTCCCTAGGTGTGATAATCTGAAATGTCTTTAGATGTTGCCAACTGTCCCCTGGGAGGGAATATTGCCTCTGGTTATGAACCATTGTAATATTAAAAAAAAAGTATAGAGTTATGGGCTTATAATCTTGGCTCTAATACTTTTTAGCTATATGATCCTTCTATGTCCCTGTTTTCTAATTTGTCAAATGGATATGGCATTGCTATTCAGTTGAATGTATGCTTACTGAGCATTCTTTTTTCCAGATAATGTTCAGTACATTAGGCATACAAAAAAACAAACAAAAGAAAAACTTTCATTTTTGCCCTCAGGAACTACACATTTTGATGAGGAAGATGGACAAGCATATCAATAATTGTAATGAAACTAGTGGCCTGGTACACAACATTGGTGCACTTGGGGTGGGGCGGAGGATGTACCTTAACCTGGCCTGTGTCCTGTCACAGTGCAAGAGCCTTGTGATCCATCACCCCAAAGATGTAGGCCCTACACACCATCTGGGGCTCCTCGATGATTTCCCCAAAGAGGTAGGCTGGAGCTGGGGAAGGCCTGCAGACCTCCGGGCAAGGCCACGATGGAGACCAGCTCATTTCCACATGCCTGTGGACCCATGGCTGGGGCTATGGTGGAGAGTCTGCTCCACTGCGGTTCTGCCCTCAGGTTAGACCTGTGGCAGAGGGGCATCTGCATGCACCTATGGACTCATGGCCGAAGCCGCCCCCATCCTCGATGCTGCAAGTCCCCACCCACCTGCACTTACTCTGCACGCAGCCTGTAGATGGGTCATTATTGTGATGGCATCCCAACCAATTTGTATATTACCCTATTATTAGTATAAATGTGTTGAGAATATATATAAGGGACATCTATAATAATAAAAGAGTAATATGCCAATTAGACCAGACATCCTTCTGGATGACCTTCTGGAAGAAGCCAGGGCTTTGAGGGAGGCCTAGATTCCAGATTCCAGGTGTCTGCCAGCAGCTGGACGGAAACCCCAGTCCCGGTGCCAGCAGCTGGGGAAAGGAAAGCCTACTCTTGAAAAAATTTCATGCATCGATATATATATATATATATATATATATATATATATATATATATATATATATATTTTTTTTTTTTTTTCCCCACTGAGGAAGTTATGTTCAAATTGGACTTGAATTATGACTGGGATCCTGACAGGTAAAGAAAAAGGAAAATAAAACTCCAGGTGTATACCACTGCATGAATGGAGACACAGAGGTGTATGAGGAAATAGTTTATTTGTAGGGTCTTGATTTGCCAAGAATAGTCCTGGTTTATATCTGTTGTTGTCCTGATGTAATTATCAGTGGTTTCCCATTCACTCTTAAATATGTCTTGAATATGGTTGATAAATTATATGGCCACATATTTATTTGGTAACTGAGAGTAATTAAATGAGATGGAACACAGATAGAAGGATTAGAAAAGGTAAATATGGTCATAACATGAAGAGCTTTGTGGGCCAACCTTAGGAGTTTTTAGATAATGGAAAAATCATGAATGGTTTATAATGAGATGAATGACAGAGTTATATAGTTAAAATATTCCTTTAATGAAATAGTAGAGAATGGACTAGAAAGGAGTGAACAGAGATGGGAGAAACCAGAGAGAAAGCCACTGAAATAATTAATTGGAAAAATGATGACTTTATTTTGCTTGAAATATCTTATAAAAGATGAAAAAGATAAGTCAGCAATAGAGTGTGGGACTAATTTAGTTCTAAAAGAGATGGAGACTATTTGAAGCTAAAAGACAGGCATTTAGGGGATAGAATGTTCAGAACCCAACCACCAATCAAATGGGGCACATTACAGGGAAATTGGACCATTACCCACATTCTTGAGGATTTCTCAGTTAAGTAGGGAAATCAGATGTGAAACCCTAAAACTTTAATACAATGTTGAAAACACAAATGACTTCTTGTCAGTTCTCTGACTTAGTTCCTATTAACTTGTTGTCTAGAAAGGCAAATAATATAAATAAATGAGACAATGATAATATCATAAAAAGCCACTGTGTATTGAATTTTTGCTGATGATATGTTTCCAGCTTATGCAATAGGATGCATAGTGGCAGCATTCATAGGGAACATGGCAAGATGAGTGGTTTGGAGTAAGCCAGAGTAGATGTGGAAAGAGTTGATGAAGGTTTAGATCTCCATATGTACAGGGAGCATGACCCTGAAGGCCAAGGTGTAAACAGCTTCCATCTTGGAATCGGACTGACCATGCAGCCAATAAATTAATTTATTAGCTCACTTTTGCCTCTCTTTCTAGGGGCTTTGGGAATATCCTGGATGAAATACTACTGCCAGTATGAGAAAGAGACCAAAACACTCACCATGACGCCAATGGAGCAGAAGCCAGGTGCTAAGCAGGTCAGTTTTTTTTGGTGCCACATTTTTTGCAATGCATCTAGGCCTGCATCTCAGAAAAGAGTATATGTTGACTTAGTGTCAAAGAACCAAATCCATCACTGTCATGTCAAGCCATGGCTTCATATGTTCTCTTTGGCATTGGGCCCGATACTTCTCAGTTGAGCAAAAGATCTCTGTTAATTATGTCAGGGCTTTGGAAAGTACCTCTACTCTTTCATACCATTTACTAAATTATTACAACTGCCTGTCATGTTGTACAAAGAAAATTTGCAAAAGTATGGATGAATTGTGGGTGGAGAATATGTCTTGCTTTTAAGAAAGCTCTATTATAGGAGTCTTTTAAACAGTAAGAGTTTAAAATATAATTTACCAAACTTCATTTTTAAAAGAGTTAGTCTGTTATCTAAAGTTGGAATAACCTATTCTTCACAGTCTATGTAATAATTCTAAAATATCTTTAAGCAGTTAATGCCTCTTCTTCTTCCTTCCAAACGTTCCTCCACTACCCAAAGTGGCAAATGACTTTAATATACTGAAAACATAGTTTACTTAACTGGAAGAATCTGATATGCTATGTATGTTTGTTATGTTAGACCATAGAGCTAAAACTTTTATTCTGTCATCTCACTTTTGCCTACCTTTGCAGGAGTTTTGGGAATACACACACACACACACACACATACACACACTCTTAAGATAAAAGCTGTTAGACTATTAATATGCTAAAGTAGTTCAATGTTTCATTTTTAAAAAATATATATTTTTATTGATTTAGAGAAAGGAAGGGAGAGGTATATATAATGAGAAACATTGATGAGAGAGAAACATTTATTGGCTGCCTCCTGCACTCCCCTGCTTGGGAATCTAGCCTACAACCAGGGCATGTGCCCTAAGCAGGAATCAAACCATCACCTTCTGGTTCATAGGAGGTCAACCACTGAGCCACACTGGTGGGGCTCAATGTGCCCTTTTAATTGTCTCTCAGACTGGGTCTTAGTGATTATATTTAAGTATTTTAATTCTTTACAAATTGACAAAGTGACTTGTTGGCATTGAAAGTTGTAGTACATGAAGACTCAATTTATGTAGAAAGGTAATTGGGTTAATTTTTCTCTATTGTGGTCTTTTCCATAGACAATCTTGCTTGTGTGGCTTGTTCATGGAAAATTAGAGAAGATTGAGATTTAGTCTCAGGATGCCGAAAACTGCTTTTTTTGTTCTTTAACCACACATTTTGTTACTCTGCTTCTAATGTCAACTGGAGAAGGGATGCAACTCTAAATAAGGATACCAAATAGTATGAAGGTGTTTCAGAACCTTCATCCATGTTTCCATATGGGCCTGTTACTCATTCATGACTTCAAAGTTTTCCTTACTTTTCAGTCTGCCAACTGCTAATGCACCTTTAGATGTGATTCCAAAGCACAGAACTTCTTTCTTTTCTGTTGGAACTGAGCTGATGTACCTGAGAGGCAAGTGCTTATAAACAATACTGTCCTGCAGTCTCTTTCTTTTCTTTTTATATATACAGTAGAGGTCTGGTGCATGAAAATTCATGCACTGGAGGGGGAGTTCCTCAGCCTGGCCTGCCCCCTCTTAGAGCCCAGGAGCCCTCAGGTGCGAGAGGCAACCCAGCAATCAGGGGAAGGTGATGCCCCTTTCTTACTTCTGCTGATGTCACTGCTGGCAGTGCAAGCCTCAGCTGACTCTGGTTACCTGAGCCTCAGGTGGCCCTGGGTGGCTGGGAAGCCACCATCTGAGGCTTGCCTGTGCCTTGGGCTGGCTTTGGGTGGCTGGGGGTGCTGAGGGGATGGGGACTCTGGAGGCAGGCACGCAGCAAGGACTAGAGGCCTGGTGCACAAAATTCATGCACGGGTGTGTCCCTTAGTCCGGCCTGCACCCTCTCCAGTTGGGGATCTCTCAGAAAATGTCCGGCTGCCTCATGCAATCCAGGATCACTGGCTCCTAACTGCTCGCCTGCCTGCCTGCATGATCACCCCCAATCCCTCTGCCTGCCTGATTGCCTCTAACCACCTCTGCATGCCTGATTGCCCCTAACCACATCTACCTGCCTGCCTAATCACCACTAACTGCTCCGCTACCAGCCAGATTGACTCTAACTGCCCCCCTGCTGGTCTGATTGCCCCTAACCACCTCTGCCTTGCCCTGCACCCGGACCCAGAATTCCCTCATTCTGGCTGGCCAGAGGCACCCAGAATCTGGGCTGGCTTTGTCCAGGCTGTCCGCTGCTACAGGTGACTGTGGGCAGGCGGCTTCTCCTGGGACACAGCTGCAGGCACCCAGGATTGTGGGGCGAGTGGCTTCTCCCTCTCCCGGGCTGCAGGCTCAGGTGCAGATGCTGGTGGCCCGGACCACTGGGTGGGCATCTTGTCCCTCTCCTGGGCCGGAGCTCCAGCCACTGGCACTGGGACCACAAGGTTGGTGGCTTGTCCCTCTTTCGGGCTGCAGGCACAGCCACAGGTGCTGGTTACCTGGGACCACAGGGTAGGTTGCTTGACTCTCTCCCAGGCCATAGGCGCAGGCGCAACTGCTGGCACCGGGGACTGTGGGCCAGGTGTCTTGTTCCTCTCCCGGGCCACAGCCCTAGCTGCTGGCACCTGGGACAGCGGGGTGTGTAGCTTGTCTCTCTCCTGGGCCAGGCTGCAGGTGCAGGTGTAGCCGCAGCCACTAGTGCTGGACCCACAGAGTGGGAGGCTTGTCCCTCTCTCGGGTTGCAGCCCCAACCTTTGGCGGGTGGCTTGTCCCTCTCCCAGACCATAGGTGCAGGCACAGCTGCTGGCACTGGGGACTGTGGGCCAGGTGGCTTGTCCCTCTCCCGGGCCCCAGCCCCAGCCCCAGCCGCTGGTGCCCGGGACCGCAGAGCAGACAGCTTGTCCCTCTCCCAGGGAACAGGTGCAGCTGCTGGCACCCAGAACCGTGGGGTAGGCGGCTTGTATCTCTCCTGGGCCGCTGCCTGGCTGGTCCCCATTCCTCTCTCATGAGCTCATTTGTGATTGGTTGGTCCCCATTCCTCTTTTCCCATTGTTGAGTGTCTGAGCTGTTATGGTGTGATGACCATTTGCATAGTAGCTCTTTATTATATAGGATTACTTTCCAAATCTTGGACTTGAAAGTTCTTTTTTTAGACAGTAAGCTCATTTAGGCCCTTTCTCTCCTGCTCAGAGGTGCCTACTGCAAAACTCTAGACAGGCAGTGAATGCCAATTTCACATCCTCCTAACATATAAGAGCAAGCCCTTCTTTTAGTTTATCTCCCCATGTTCCCTTTTCATTGAGTGGCTGCTTGAAAAATTGCAGTTCTGTCACAGTCTTAATAGTTTTCCTATGGTATTTCTTATGGAATAGAAAGAGGAGCATGTTTTTCCATTATTAAGGGAGGGGAGGTGGAAGTAATTACTTGAATTTTTAGTTGGAAATGACTTCTTGTCAGTTCTCTGACTAGTTCCTATCATTAACTTGTGCTCTAGAAAGCCAAATAATACAAATAAATGAGAATTATAATATCGTAAAAAGCCACTGTGTATTGAATGTCTGCTGTGTGTCAGGTGCTGAATACTTTCCATCATGTGCCTCATTACTCTTGCAATAACAATGTGATGTATGGTTAGTTGAATTTGAAGATAGACTAATTAGCCCTTTTTCTGACTATGGTACTCAGCACTGTTCCCTATTATTTCAGCCTATCAGCTTCCATTTGTATTGTGCTGCTTACTTTACAGATCACTTTCCCAAACATGGTTTATTTGTTTGTTTGTTTTAGTCCTCACCTGAGGATGGATGGATGTATATATATATATATATATATATATATATATATATATATATATATATAATTTCTAAATATATTTTATTGATTTCTTTACAGAGAGAGGAAGAGAGAGGCATAGAGAGTTAGAAACATCGATGAGAGAATCATCGATCAGCTGCCTCTTGCACACCCCCTACTGAGGATGTGCCCGCAACCAAGGTACATGCCCTTGACCGGAATCGAACCTGGGACCTTTCAGTCCGCAAGCCGACACTCTATCCAGTGGGCCAAACCGGTTTTGGTGATATTTTTTATATTGATTTGAAAGTGAGAGCAAGTGTGTGTGGGGGGGGTAGAGAGAGGAGAGAGAGAGAGAGAGAGAGAGAGAGAGAGAGAGAGAGAGACATCAATGTGAGAGAGAAACATGGATCTTAACAGGGATTGAACCTACAACATGAGTATGTGCCCTGACCAGGAATTGAACCTGCCACCTTTTGGTGCATAAGATGATATTCCAACTAACTGAGCCATGCTGACCAGGGTGGCATAGAAGCTTTTTGATTTGAGTAAAGTACTTTTTGCTTGGTGTCATATTTCTTCTTAGAAAAATGGCAAGGTTGATGACGTAGTAAACATTTATTGAGTGCTGTTTATTATGTACTAGAGACATAAAGATAAATAAAACATTGCCCACATTCTTGAGGATTTCTCAGTCAAGTAAGGAAATGATTCATGAAAATATAAAGCTTTAATATAAATTAATTGTAAAAACACATAATGTCAACGTATGTGATTTGGGAAGGATTTTAGAGGAAATCAAACTAAATTGCAGGTTGTAGAACAAGTAAGAGTTTAACCAGGCAAATAATATACATAGTCATTTTAGGTAGAGGAAACAGTATATGCAAAGTTATGGAATCATTAAAGAGCATGATACATGTATGAAATAAGAGTAGTTTTACACTCATGGGGGTGGTTGCAAGGGAACCTGGAGTGGAGGGCAAGACTTAGGCCCCTGAGCTGTGATGCCACCAAATGTGAGGGAATTCAGAATTTAAAGTAGGAGGGTGAGTACATAATGCAGTTGTGAATCATTCTCATCCTGAGCAACTAACAATGCTTGATATTCTAAATGCTGGGGCAGGGAAGACAAATTGAAAGATGAATTTAGAGTTGAGTTTGCATAGTGCAGGAGCAGCAGAAGAATAAGCTTTTGGTGGCTGAGTGTGTCAGTGAGAGAAAATAATTGGATTATCAGCTGTATCAGCCAGTTTAGATGGTACAATGCTTAGGCATAGGCCTGGTATTTGGGGAGTGTTTCTGAATTTGAAACAGTAAGGTGTGTGTATTATTCCCATTTAATAGGCTGTGGAGTTAAGATTCAGAGAGTCGAAATTATTTGCCCTGGATCATATAGCTAGTAAATGGCCTAACTGAGACAAGACCCCAGGTTTTAAGCTTCTTAGTTTATTGCCATTTTCATTATACCAACATGGGTGACTTGGGATAAGCCATTTTACCTCTCTGAGCTTCCTCCAAAGATTATGAAGAAAGTTGGTTTATGAATACCTAGTGTAATATGTGGCACTAGTAGCGGATTAATAAATGTTACTTCTCTTACCTATACCACATTGTCTATGTTGAAATAATAGAGGGAAATTAATTAGTGTAAGACTGGGGAATTTTAACCTGTGGAAAAGGTGGATTTCATTGGCCTTGTTAAGTGCCCACAAGGCTAAGGTGGGCCAAACCATTCTGCACATATGAAATACCAAATGCCACCTTAACTAATACACACATTAAATTCCTTACACCAACCCTATCTTTGGAATCATTGCTTTTGGAAACTCTTTCATTCTCGAGAGTCTAGAAGTAGAGAAGAGAAATGTTTGTCTCCCCCTCCTCCATTTGCCATTTTAATGGAAGGATGGTTGCAGAAAGCCACTTAATCATAGCAATCTCCCTACCTAGACATCTATCAAAAAGTTTATTTTGGACACTTAATGTGATTCTGGGCAGCCTGTTTCTCCTTCACTCCCCTTACAAGGTAAGGCTTACATGATGTGAAATGAGCTTTCTATTTAATCTGGTGCATTTGGAAAAGAGTGATGGCCTACCTTGAATATAATTTTCTTTTCGTCTCAGCCATTTATTGATTTTTGGAGCAGGGAGAAACCATATGCCATCTTGCTGCAACTACCATCTGAAGAGACAAAGGTTCTCAGTGAGGCTATACATATGCCTTCCAAGTGACACAAAGGACACTGTAGAATGCAGAAGCTTTTGTGCACGCCCCCTCCCCCCCAAATTGACTATTAATCCTTCTCTTCTATCAGGGGCCCTTGGACTTAACCCTGAAGTACTGTGTGAGAAGGAAGACGGAGTCTATTGACAAGAGGTTCTGTTTTGATATAGAAACTAATGAAAGGTAAGCTGTGCTGGTGTCGATTGATAATGTCCCCTGTAAAAGGTGCTGAGCCTGGGTAGATCTTTTCCTCTATCATCTCTTGTTGATGAAAATGAGCAAATCTATTCATGATGTCGTTGTCTTAGCTCTTCTGGCCACCCTTCACAGAGATCCCTGTTAGACCTGGCCCAGTGTTGGTTCTCTCTATGAAAGCTTCAATCAGCTTTGCCTCACCTGCTCTAGGCAGAAAAAGTCATTCCTAGGATTTAATTTGCTATTATATATGCAAAAGGTTAGTGTTTAACAATGTGACAAAAAGGACAAGATAACAAAACTCACTCCTTTTAAAATCTCCTAATATCCTATATAACAGTGGTCGGCAAACCAAGGCTCTCGAGCCACATGTGGTTCTTTGGCCCCTTGAGTGTTCTAATGCCACTTCTTCAAAATAGACTCGCCCAGGCTGAAAACCGACTTCTGCACATGAGCCACAAAGTTTCAATCGCACTGTACATGCACACCTGCACATGGTATTTTGTGGAAGAGTCACACTCAAGAGGCCAAAGAACGGCATGTGGCTCACGAGCCGAGGTTTGCCAAACTCTGCTATAAAACAAAAGGCTAATATGTAAATCAACTGAATGATGGAACGACCTGTAGCTATGATGCACACTGACCACCAGGGGGCAGATGCTCAATGCAGGATCTTCCCCTGGTGGTCACTGTGCTCCCACAGGGGGAATGCCACTCAGCCAGAAGCTGGGCTTATGGCTGGTGAGCATAGCGTCAGTAGTGGGAACCTCTGCTGCCTCTCTGGCAGAACTAAGAATGTCCAACTGCCTGCTTAAGCCATCACTCGGACATCCCCCAAGGGCTCCCGGACTGTGAAAGGACACAGGCTGGGCTGAGGTTGTCTCCTCCCACTGCCTGAGTGCATGAATTTTGTGCACCAGGCCTCTAGTAGCATATAAGAACAAGTGAATTGGAACACAGTTTTAATAAATATATATCTTTTTTGATTTTAGAGAGAGGAAGGGAGAGGGAGAGAGATAAAAACAACAATGATGACCAGGAATCAAACCAGCAACCTCTCAGTGAATTTCTCAATGCTCAATCACTGAGCTATATTGACTGGGCTGGACAACATTTTAATAGGAGCTAGATGTGATGGAGGGTAATAGTACTGGGGAGTAATATTTTCTTCCACTTGGTGCAAACTTCATACAGACTTTTCCTACTTTGCAGATATTTATGTCTAGTGTAATTAGTTTGATTATCAACTTTCTGATTTCAGACAAGGCTTACAAATTTTGGACTTTATTTTACTTGTTTCTCTTTGGTGCCCCCCCACACACACCTTTTTTTTTTTTTTTTCCTTGACCTGAGGACATTTTTTAAGAGGGGAATTTAACCTTTAAATTTTAAAATGAGATCAATTGAAATTACTTTGGATAAACACATGTTACGTAGGTGGGAGGTTGATCCAAATTTCAGTGAATAAATAGGCTTCTATATTTTATTTCAGTCTATTGCTTCTATGGAATAGGTACTGAGTAATAGAATATAACTTAATGGAATGATCATATTACTAGAAAGGAACCTGGAGGTTCAATTATAATCTTACCTAATAATAGACAAACATGTAAATTGACTGTACCTTCACTACACCCATAGCCAATCAGAGTAACTATGCAAATTAACCCAAAAAAAGATGGCGGTTAATTTGCATACACAGTCGCCCAGCACCTGTGTCCCAGGAGCATCCTGGCACCCAGGTCATTGTGAGGTAAGGCCTGGGCAGGAGCATATGCCCTGCGATCAATCTCAGGGAGCTGGGGCTTTGCTCCTGCTCAAGGCCGAAAGCTCTGAAGGCTTTTGGCCTGGTGCAGGAGTGGACCGCCTGCGATTGATCTCCTGGGCAGGAGTGTATACCCTGCAATCAATCACAGGGAACTGTGGGGTCTGCTTTCGTCCTGGGCAGGAGCAGAACCCCTGTGATTGATTGTAAGGAGCTAGGGTTCCATTCCTTCCCAAGAGGCTTTTGGCCTGGGCAGGCCTGGGCAGGGGCAGAGCTGGTGATCATAGGGAGCTGGAGGGCCCCTGCTCAAGCCTAAAGCTTCGGCCAGAGGCTTTAGGCCTGGGCAGGGCCCATCCTGCAATTGGTGTGAACTATAGAGGAAACATCTTTTCTGACTGCACATTGGCTAAGCTTCCTGTATGCCACTGGTAATATTCTTAGTAACTTGAGTAATAAGAATCAAAAAAGGTGATTTAAGGTTTTTCCACCACACTTCTGGAGAAAAAAATGAAGATCTGCTGCTGGAGGGCTAAGAAATGTCTTATCCTGCCCTAGCTGGTTTGACTCAGTGAATAATGCCTCAGTCTGCCAACCGCAGGTTCTAGGTTCGATTCTGATCAAGGGCATGTACCTAGATTCCAGGCTCCTCCCTGGCCAGGGCCCAGATCAGGGCTCATGCAGGAGGCAACCAATCAAAGTGTTTCTCTCACTTTGATGTTGCTCTCTGTCTTTCCCTTTCTCTTTCACATTCTTTAAAAGTCAATGGAAACATATCCTCAGGTGAGGATAAAAAAAAAAGAAAGAAAAAGAAAGAAATGCATATCCTATGGAAGACACATCTTGAAAATGCCTAATGAAGTTTATAATTTTTTCTTGGTAAAGGGACTGGAGTCAGTGTTGATGAAAACACCTTGGTGGCTGTGGTGATTGGCAGTGGCTGCAGCAGCATTAAAGGACATTATCACTTAAAGGGCTGAGAACAGTGCTTGGCACATAAGAGGTATTCAGCAAATGTCAGCATTGTGCTGCTGCTGCAGCTGTAGTTATTATTGCTATTATTATCATTGCCATTCAAGCTCTGATGGGCTATGAGCCTGTGGCTTCAAATGTTGGTAGGAATATAGGATATCTTTTTATTAGTGTTCCTACCAACATTTGAAGCCACAGGTTCATAACCCATCAGAGCTTGAATGGCAATGATAATAATAACAATAACAACTACAGCAGCAGCAGCAGCACAAATGCTGACATTTGCTGAATACCTCCTATATGCCAAGCACTGTTCTCAGCCCTTTAAGTGATAATGTCCTTTAGTCCTTACCACAGTCACATGAGGTAGGGGTATTATTATTCCAATTTTACAAAGGAAGACAAGGAGACAGAGAGAAAGTAAACAAGTCAGATTACATAACTGGAAAATGGTAGAGCCAAGATCTAAATCCAGTCATTCTACTTTCCAAGCTCGCACTTTTAATCACTACACTCTTCTGCAAATATGCTGTGTATGCCTTTTTGTTCCAAATGGGTCACTGAGACCTCAGGAAGGGCAAAAGATTTATCTTAGGTCAGAATAGAAGTCCCTGGATTAGATGTCAGTACTTTGTCATTCTGTTCATAAACAGTATTGTTCTTTGAATTTGACTTGCTGTAGCACTTAAAAATCTATAAATGCTTCCTGAATAGTACTTGTTTATCCAGCTTCTCTGTAAAGTGAAGCAAGGACACATTCTGGAATTTTTATTTCCCAGTTAGGGAAGCTCAGTTTCAGAATGGTTTTAATATTGTATCTGGTCTTCAGTTTCTGCTTTTCTGTCTGTTGCTCATTTTCTTGTTTTCTTTCTTTCTGGCTGCAGGATTCAGCTACATAGCTTCCTTTACAAAGATTTCTAGACTTTCTAGCCCTGTAAGATATATCCAAAAGGTTGGGGGTTTCTAAGAGAAAGATAGACATGAAAGAATTCACTATCCAAAGCCAAGTCTTGGTTTTAAATTGATTATTTTTTAAAGATGATTTAAGAGTGTTCTTTCTAAAGGAGTACTTTAATGAAGTAAGAGATGGAAGGGCAGGTAGAACAGGAATCCTATGATATCAGAACTAGAAAGCACCTTCCAACTTGTGTGTTTTAACACCCTTATGGATAATGAAAGAGGCCCACAGAGCCCCAATGACTTTTTCCAGGTCTCTCATCATTGTTCTTATAATTTCGTGACTTGAGAGAGGTCTCATCTTATACAAGTAGTGAGAGGAGCAAGCTTCTCATAATGGCATAGTGAGGTAAAGAATTCAAGAAGACTTTATGCTTGTAATAATATGGTCAATCCCAAATTTCCAATTTGTTTTGTTTTTTGAAGTTTGAAAAAGACAATACATAGTACAACAACTTGGGATATCTCTGGGTATAGGTAGCCTGCAAGTAAGTAAAATAAAATTGCCATTGAGGCCCTCTGCCATGATGAAGAGGCCTTATAGTGTACTGTTTAAAATATATATATATATATATATATATATATATATATATATATATATATATAAAATTTATTTATTTATTTTTAAAATATATTTTATTGATTTTGTACAGAGAGGAAGGGAGAGAGATAGTGAGTTAGAAACATTGATGAGAGAGAGTCATCGATCAGCTGCCTCTTGCACACCCTCTACTGGGAATATGCCCGTAACCAAGGTACATGCCCTTGACCAGAATCGAACCCTGGACCCTTCAGTCCCCAAGCCAACGCTCTATCCATTGAGCCAAACCGGTTTCGGCTATATATATATTTTTAAACAGTACACTATAAGGCCTCTTTAAACAGTACACTATAAGGCCTCTTCATCATGGCTGAGGGCCTCAATGGCAATTTTATTTTACTTACTTGCAAGCTATATATATATATATATATATATATATATATATATATATACACACACACACACACACACACACACATATATATATATATATATATATATATATATATATATATATATTATTTTTTACAGACAGGAAGGAAAAGGGATAGAGACTTAGAAACATTGATGAGAGAGAAACATCAATCAGCTGCCTCCTGCACACCCCCTACTGGGGATGTGCCCACAATCAAGGTACATGCCCTTGACTGGAATTGAACCAGGACCTCTAAGTCCGCAGGCTGACACTCCATCCACTGAGCCAAACCGGCTAAGTGGTTAAGGAAGAACATGGCTTCTAGGCCAGAATTATTGAATTCAAATTCTGATCTACTATATTTACCCAATATGTTAATTTAGGTAACCTCTGTATTCCTCAGTTACTGCTTCTATAAAATAGGATTAAAAAAAAAAATAAAACATCCTCTGTGGTACCTGCTTTATGGGCTTCCTGGATATATTAAATAAATTAATGCCTATAAAATACTTAGAACAGGACCTAATACCTAGTGAGCATTTAGTAACTCTTAGTTATTATTAGTCATAAGATTGCTTAAGTTAGACAATGTGCATGCTGTGCCAATTGGAAATTCTCCTGGGCATCCTAGGTGGTGGAAGTAGCAAAATGAATTTCCTGAAGATGAATGTGCCCATGATGAACATGCTCACCCCTATAGCTCAGACCAAATGGCTGGCTTCTGAGAGAGGCAGGGAGAGCCTCAATTTGGCTCAAGCAGGATAGGGCCAATTTAAGTATACTATGGTGAGGTGTCCTGGCAGCTGCCCTACTATTTTCTTTCCCCACCCTAGCCAAGATACCCCTTCTCTCGGGGTTCCCAGAGTTACTGTTCTCTAAATATTCTGTTTTTTTTTTTAAATATATATTTTATTGATTTTTTTTTTTTTACAGAGAGGAAGGGAGAGAGACAGAGAGCTAGAAACGTCGATGAGAGAGAAACATCGACCAGCTGCCTCTTGCACACCCCCCACCGGGTATGTGCTCGCAACCAACGTACATGCCCTTGACCGGGATCGAACCTGGGACCTTTCAGTCTGCAGATGGAAGCTCTACCACTGAGCCCAGCTGGTTTCGACATATTCTGTTGTTTTTTGAGTAAAAAATACTTTGAAAAATTTTCTGAGTAAAACAGATTGAAAAATCTGATTAGGCCTGTGCCTATGCAGTGTGACACTTCCTGGGGCTGAGGGGGGACCTTAAATCACAAGACTCCATTCTCTCAGATGACTGTTTTGCTTTCAACTTCTCATTTTTTTTTCCCTTAGGCCAGGAACCATCACTCTACAGGCCCTTTCAGAAGCTAATAGAAGGCTATGGATGGAGGCCATGGATGGGAAAGAGCCTGTAAGTTACTTCAGATACTGGGGATACCTCTACAGCACTGCCAAGCGTATGAGTCCCCTCTAGTGGTACAAGTAGGTCTAGGACAGTTAAAAGGTAATAGATCCATCTGACTCAAATTTTTTTTTTAAATATATTTTTTTATTGATTTTTCACAGAGAGGAAGAGAGAGGGATAGAGAGCTAGAAACGTCGATGAGAGAGAATCATCGACCAGCTGCCTCTTGCACACCCCCTACTGGGGATGTGCCCGCAACCAAGGTACATGCTCTTGACCGGAATCGAACCCGGGACCTTTCGGTCCGCAGACCGACGCTCTACCACTGAGCCAAACCGGTGCCGGCCTGACTCAAATTTTTTAGAGCCAGCACGAATTTTGTTGACTTACCACCTCTTTTTTTTAACAAGTAAGGCAAGTTAACAACAAATTGATATCCCCCACCTCTCCTTCTTTCCGCCCCCTCTAAAACCCATAAATTAAAAACAACAGTAAGGTGAGGAGCATCTCTAGGACTACCTACACAGAAGGCATCAAAGCTGGGCCTAGAATCCAGGGCCCATAGATTCTTGCTCCAGTTTTACATATGCAGCTGTGGCTACAAGATCTTCGTAAAGAAAACTAAGCCTTTTTCATTTTATATAATTAATATATGTTCATATAGAAAGACTGAAAATAATTGGCATGGCTGTAAACAAGCATTTATTAAGATTTTATTCAAAATTGTTTTTGCTATCCCTTCTTACTCCCAGAAATCAGTTTATTATTTTTAAGGGCACATCTAGTGGAGGAGATGGCATTGCCATCCTGTGTACCAAGATATACCATTCTATTTAGAAACTTCTTGTACAGGAGGATAGAGTCTTTAAAGTGTTAGTGATTATTCTATAAAGACCAATATGAACAGTAAGAAATTATTGAAAAGAATTTTCTCTTTTCAGTATATTTCCAGTAGGTTTTTTCTGGTGACATATGAAATAATATCAGCTTCATAATGTTGGAATATGAAAGGCTTAGATTTGGATCGTGGTTCTGCCAGTCAGTGGTTGTATAAACTTTAGCAAGTGATTTCATCTCTCTGAGACTCAGTTTTCTTCTCTTTAGTAAAATGGCTTTAATAATCTCTTTTCTACCTATCTTGCAGGGTTTATTTAAAAATCAAATGAAAGTCAGTCTATCAACCATAATGTGATATTTTATTGTTAGGTGCTTTTAACTTGTCTGAAGTGTGGGTGCAAAGCTACTGTGATTTAACAGTATTTGGATATAGTATAATCTCCTTGCTTTATTTACCTTACTAGGAGGGAAAATATATTCCAGGGTTTTCTTTCATTGTCATCAGTGCCCTGGAATCTAAAAAGGAGTGCACAGATCCAAAATTGCATTTATAGCAACCAAGAAGATAGCTATAAATGTGAAATGATATCGTGAGGAATGCCATCCAGAATGTAGTCCAGAACCTGTCCTTTCTCCTTCCCCTCCCAGAAATCTGGAGCTTAACTATTACATGTCTTTGGTGTTTCTCTAGGAGGATGCTAGAAGGCTTAGCAAGGCATTTTCCTCTTGAGTCTCTCTCGTGAAATTGTTCTCTCTTTAGTTTTTTTTAGGATACAGAAGGGTTTTTGTGGAGAATAATGCTAGAACATGGGCCCACTGAATGTGAAACTTTATCAGCTTGATTATGGCAGACTTAATACAAATATATTATTTGTCAAAGTGGCAGCAAGGGCCAGCATGGAAACCTCTCTCATTCAAATATTCATGGGTATATACACATATGCAAAATGTTTCTTTTAAAATAAAAGATTGTTACAGCACGCTAACAGATGGCATATAGAGAACTTATTTCCTGTATCCTAACATTGCTTTCCTGTATCCCAACATTGCTAATGTTGTTGCTGCTTTACTTAACATACCAATCTATTAAACTTATACGTTTTGCATGCTTTGCTTAAAGCAGGGGTAGGTAACCTTTTTTCTGTCAAGGGCCATTTGGATATTTATAACATCACTAGAGGCCCAGTGCACAAATTCATGCATGGATCGGGCCTGTCGGAAGGAGGAGATGGTAGGAGATTGGCCTTGGCCGGTGGGCCCTGCCCCAATTGAGGTGGCAGGGCTAATTGGGGGTGGGGCCGGACAGGAGAAGGGGCTGCAGGAGGTTGGCTGGCTGGCAGCCCCACCCCCTATTGTGGTTGGGGGTTGATCAGGGGTGGGACTGGCTGGAGGGAGAGTCTGTGGGCCAATCAGAGTGGTGGGGGCCCATCAGGGGTGGGGCCGGCCAGGGGGGGAAGGGCCATGGGGGTGTTGGCTGGCTGCCCCACCCTCAATTGGGGTGGGAGAGTCAGATCAGGGGTGTGGCCGGCTGGAGGGAGGTGCCTTGGGGGGTTGGCTGGCCAGTCCCACACCCCAATCAGGCCGGTTTGCTGGCCACAGTGGACGTCATAGTGACTGGTAGTTCCAGTCATTATGGCGTTCTAGTCGCTGGCTTTATAGATAGATAAATGATAGATAGATAGATAGATAGATATAATAGATGATAGATAGATAGATAGATAGATAGATAGATAGATAGATAGATAGATAGATTGATTTGCGGGCCATACAAAATTGTCAACTTAAAAATTAGCCTGTTATATTTGGCCAAACATTTAATTAACTCACCCCTAATGTCTTGGCAGGGGCAGACTGAATAATTTTATGGGCCTTGTATGGCTGATAGGCTTGAAGGAACATATCTAATTCTGATCATTTTAGATATGTGAATTTTGAAGTCTAGAGAATGAAAAGGACATGTTCTAGATTTCATAATGAGGTAGAACCAGTGCTAGACTTGAAGAGTCAAGAATTTCTTCTTTGGTCTTTTCATAGCTATTAAAATGTATAGTTCAAGATGACGCAGAAAAATTTTGTCACTTCCTGGATCTCTTTCAGTTGGACACTTGTCTTTCCACAGAGAAACACCATTAACCAGTCTTTGGGGACAGGGAGGCTGGTATTGGGAATGTTTAAATTTTACCATCACATGCCCATTACCCAGGTATGCATGAGAAATCCACTTCCTTTCTCTTATGCTCTCTTGCTCCATTGGAAAAACTCTCCAAGCTTTATCTAAATAAATGTCTATGACCCTCTTAGACATTTCACACTGCTCACTTTAGTTGCAGTGAGCAGTGTGAAATCCAATGTAATCTTCAGGGATTATTTCAGCTGTCTCCTAAAGATTTAGACAAAGATGATTCTGTTTAGCCCACTTTTCCTTCTTGTTAGAGTTGTTAATGGTTTTTATTTAATTTTATTAGCCATACTTACCTATAATGATTCACTACAGCTATGGATCTTTCTGTTTCTCTTCTTTTGTAGATTTACCACAGCCCCATAACGAAACAGGAAGAAAGTGAGTCAAATTGCTGATCTACTGATGTTATAAACTGCCATCTGTCTTATTCATAGTAAATGTTGTCGTCAATGATATGTAATATTGATGCAAGTGTGTTTATGGATGTCACTCTGTGGAATGAAATTAATAACTATTTGGGGGGAAAAATTGTCCTTTGAGGAAGTCACTTTATCTTAGTTTATGGTGGGTATAGCAGTAGTGATATAAAAAGCACATTATATCCTTCTTGTTCTAAACACAGAAATCGTGTCCATTTCCAGCCTGACATTTCACATTAGTTGTTGTTCATGCCTAAAGCAGACGTAATGCAAAGGACTAACTAAAAGCATTTTGTGTTATAAAGAGTAAAAACTCTTACCCCCCACCCATGAAAAGGACCTTTCTAGTTACGATGATTGGATATGACCAGTCAAACCCCTAGTTCTCTCTGCAATATCTTAGCAAGATAACTGAATGCTTGGTAGGTGAAGCTTGTGTACATCAACATCTAACTCTGTTTTTCTTTACTCGAAACAGTGGAGCTGAATGAAGTAGGCTTCAAGTTTGTAAGAAAATGCATCAATGTCATTGAGACAAAAGGTAAGGTAATAAACCATAAGTTTGGTATTGCTTGAATATAGCCAATGTGAATTTATCCTGGGGCAATTTCTCAAAAGTAGCAATGATGTAATCAATTGTTCAGGACCAATTACTGTTTATAAACACTGAACACTAACACAATTTGTATAATTTCATTGATTTCCAAACCAGTGATAACAAGCATATTTGGGTAATTTGTGGTTTCCTGCTTTGTTAAGAGAATGATCTTTAAATGGCTTTTAAAGTATTCCTAAATACTACCTGGCATTCCTCAAGTAGGACTGTGATGATAGTCCTAAATAAACAAGAGTTCAGTTTGCGCCAGAATAGATATTGGTTTAAAAATTGATGGATGCAAAACCAAATTCAGACAAATGTGGAATAAATATTTTTTCTGGTTGATGATATTCTCAAGTTTCTCTCTCATAATATTTAGAAACTAGAGGCCCGGGGCATGAATTTCATGTACTCGGAGATGGGGCAGTGCTCTCTCACAATCCACAATCCAGGAGCCCCATGATTCATCGCCCCAAAGAGGTAGGCCCTGCCCACCCACCTAGTTTGGGCTCTTTGCTATGTCACCCACTCAGGGGGAGGCCCTGTCCACCCACCACAGCCCGCTGGTCAGTGGCTTGGGCCTCCCTTTTTGGGGCAATTGTGGAGTCTCCCGATTGATTGATCACCCTGCCGGCCAGTGGCCTAGGCCTCCTTCTACAGGGCGATCATGGGGCAATGGCCAGGCCCCTGACCAATGGCATTGCACCTGCTTTCGTTGGCCTGTCGCCAGTGGGTTTCATAGCATGGCTGACTGGGAGGTCATCCGGATGGTCATTCTGCTGTTTGGTCATTCAGTCGATTTGCATGTTATGCTTTTATTATTATAGATTATTATAAATGGGTCAGTGTACTGTATGACCAGTCTATTTTTTTTTTCTTAGAAATGTTGCTTCAGTCCTCTCCATGCATAAAATGGCCTTTTATTTTTCATCTGCCATACTCCAACCCTCTCTTACTTTCTGTCACTGCTCAGGGATCTCTTGAAAGTTGACATTGCTTTTTTAAATTTTATTTTTCAATTAGATTCTAGTTTCTTTCCAAGATGGTAGCACCATTCTCAATCTTCTGCTGCTACACACCTAAGCAAATTATTCTTTTTACTATAGTGTATGTTCACTTCTGTTCAGATTAATGAGGGCTTGATACAATCCAAATGAAAGTATGAAGATAATAATTTCTAGAGATGCTTGAGGATTGTTCCCCTATTGTAGGAGAGGTCTGGAGAGCTTGGAGAGAATAGGGTAACCCTTTCCTGTTTGAACTGACTCCAGTGTGTAAGTACCTACTTTTTTACCCTGAGGTAAATGAAAGCTCTAGCTGTATAAACAAATCTGACCTGATTTTCTTTCCTAGGGATCAAGACAGAGGGATTGTACCGAACCGTGGGCAGCAATATTCAAGTTCAGAAGCTGCTGAATGCCTTTTTTGGTAACAATTTTAATTCCATAATTTTTATTTATTGTTTATGTATTAGGAAGTATGACTATAAGAAAAAGGAGACATTACTAAAGAGGTTGTAGAATTTTTTTAAAAAGGAGATATTTCCAAAGGTAAAATGTACACATATTTTTCTACATTGGGTCAGAGACAATCTTGCCTTGGGAGAAATGACTGGCATCTCTCCTTCCTCATATCTTATTTACTCCTCAAACCCTTTGCAATTTGGCTTCTTCCTCAACCTCTCCACTGGAACTACTTCGACCAGGCTTAAAAGGTATATTATGTTTGGATTCCATTCTCTTCTTTTTTTGTGTGTATATCTATTATAGGTTTTTGGATTTTTGTTACCATGAGATTCATATATAACAACCTATGTATATAGAATTTTATTTTAAGTTGATTGTTGCTTATGTATGACCACATTCTGAAAGTATCAAATATTTTACTCCTGTACCATGTTTTATGTTTTTTTATGTCATATTTTGCATCCTTTTGTGTGTCTTTTAGTAATTATTGTAGATATAGGTAATTTTTATTACTTTTCTCTTTTACTCTTTATATTAGCTTTGTAAGTCATTAATTAACTACCTTTAATATATTTTGGCCTTTACCATTGGTGATTTTCTCTTTTATGAATTTTATAATTTATAGTTTTAGCCTTTTCTTTTCTGCTTAAAGAATTCTCTTTAACATTTCTTATAATGTCAGTTTAGTGTTGCAGAATGCTTCTAGCTTTTGCTTACCTGTCTTTCAATTAATTCTGAATGATGATAGCCTTGCCAGATATGGTAGCCTTGGATGGAAATTTTTCCCCACTTTCATCACTTAGAATATATTGTGCTATCCTCTGTGGCCTGGAAAGTTTCTGCTGAAAAATCAGTTTTTACTCTTATAGGAGCTACTTTGTATGTTACTGGTTGTTTCTCTCTTGCTCTTTTTAAGGTCCTCTCTATAAAACTTTTTAACAAACTTTTTATTGAATTTATTGGAGTGACATTGGTTACAAAATTATAGAGGTTTCTGGGGTATAGTTCTATAATACATCATCTGGGTGTTGTATGATGTGTTCACCATCCCAAGTCAAGTGTTCTTCCATCACCATTTATCTCCCCTTACCCTCTGCTACCTCCCCCACATCCTTTCCCTCTGTTAATTGGTTCACAGCAAACCTTTGATTTTGAGGACCTCAATTTAATGGACTTTGGGTTTAACAGGCAGAATTTCCAGTCTGTATGCCATATGTAAAAATTAACAACCTGTTAATTTTAAAATGCTTTTGAATAAGATTTGCTTATAATTAAATTAACAGGTAATTCTTTGTTATTAATTCACTGTTATTTTTGACAAATTTTAGTGAATAGGCAATATATCTAACATGTTTTCTCTAAGAAAAAAAGACTAATAATTTTGCTGACATAAATATTTCATATCTACAACTATAGTCTACATATTTAAATCCAAGTCACCACTCATAAACAATGTTTGAGGAATGCTTAGAACGTGATCATGCCGCATCTTGAGGTAACTGGTTCTGTTTTTGCATGCCTACAATGTTCCCATGTGCACTAAGCCATGTCTCAGCCCTGTTCATTTGTTTATTTGGGTGACGGGTGAATGAATGTATTTACTATACCTATTCAGTATAAATTTAAAATTACAGTAATACAACTAGAAAACTTTTCTGTGAAATTAAAGTTTTTGTACATACACTTAATTTTAATTACACAAATGTTTCTACATAAGTAAAAACAGGTAAACTAATTTGTCATTTTTTTAACATATGCACTTGGAAAACCTACTTTCAGGTTCAACTGACACCCCCTTGCTCAAATTAATCCATTATATTAATGTTTTACTGTACTGTTGTTTTCTCTTAATTCCTTCGCCTTTTTCACACATCCCTGTATCACCTATTCCCTGTGACAGTTGTCAGTCTGTTCTTTGTATCTATGAGACTGTTTCTACTTTGTTAGTTAATTTTGTTTATTAGATTCCACATATAAGTAAGATCGTGTATACTTGTCTTTCTCTGACTGGCTTATTTCACTCAGCATAATAATCTTCAGGCCCATCCATGCCGTCACAAAGGATAAGGTTTCCTTCTTTTTATGGCTGTGTAGTATTTCATTGTGTAAATGTACCAAAGTTTTTTATCCTCTCACCTACTTATGGACACTTGGAATATTTTTAACTTTTGGCATTTAAATTATGATGTGTTTTGGTGTGGGCCTTTTTTGGTTCATTTTGTTTGGGAATTTCTGTACTTCTTCAACTTGGATGTCTCTTTCACAGATTAGAGAAGTTTTAATCTTTTATTTCTTTTTTCCCTCTAAATATGTTTTTACTGATTTTAGAGAATGAGGAAGGAAATGGGAGAGAGAAACATTGATGAAAGAGAGACATCGATCAGCTGCTCCCTGCATGCATCCTACTGGGGATCGAGCCCTCAACCCAGGCATGTGCCCTGATCAGGAATCGAACCAGTGACCTCTTGGTACATGGAATAATGCTCAACCAACTGAGCCATGCCAGGCAGGGCAACTTTTATTTCTTCAAATAGGTTTTCTGTCCCTTTCTCTCTTCCTTCTGGGACCCCTATAATATGAATGTTAGTGCAGTTGATGGCCCAGACGTGCCTTAAACTAACCCCATTTTAAAAATTATTATTTTCTGTTTACTGTTAGGATTGGGTGATTTCCACTGCTGTACTCTGCCTTCTAGACCAGTGAATATTCCTTTTTGCATCATCTAATCTACTGTTGATTCACACTAGTGTAATTTTCATCTCAGTTTTGTATTCTTCAGTCTCATTTGATCCTTTTCTATAGTATTTATTATCTTTTTGTTGAAGTTCTTACTGTGTTCTTCCTTGTTGAATTTGGTGAACACTTTTAAAATCATGACTTTGAACTCTTTATATGGTAGATTGAATATCTCTATTTTGTTTAGTTATTTTTCTTGTTTTTGTCATGAACTTTCATTTGGAACATATTCCTTTATCTCTTCATTTTGCCTAACTGCACTTGTTTTTATGTATTAGGTAGATACATTACATTTTCCATTCTTGAAAGAGTAGCCTTATGTAGAAGATCTCCTGTGGTACCCAGTGGCACAATCTTCCCTGGTCTCCAGAGTCATGTGCTACAGGGGTTTCCCTTGTATAGGCTGTGTTCACTCACCTATTATAATATGACTAGATTTTTGCAAGAATAGGGCTTCCTTGGACATATTCCTGCAAGAATAAGGCTTTCTGTGTCTGTCTCTGCCACCCCATTTGCTTCCCTCACTTCTCCACTGCTCTGCCTGCTTCCCTCTGCCCTGCCTGCTTTTCTCCCATCTCCGCTCCCCGCTTGCTTCTCTGCAGCATCGCTGTCTTCTGTGGTGCTTGGCTTCCTTCTACGCTATCTTCAGTCTTCTCTCTGTGCCTGGATATGCAAATAAACTGCCATCTTGGTTGGGTTAATTTGCATACTCATGCCTGATTGGCTGGTGGGCATGGCTTGTGGGCATAGGGAGGTATGGTCAATTTTCATGTTTATCTTTTATTAGATAGGATGTGATTTCTGGGTCATGCTGGTGGGAAGGGTTTGGTCCCAAAATCTACTGGCTATGAGGTTCAGCCTCAACACTTGTCAATATGCAGGTGGACAGGACACATCCCTGGCCTAACTGTCTATGAGGTCTGGCTATGGCTGCTGTGGGTACACTGTTGGGTAGGGTTAGCCTCTGGCCTGATTGTCTGTAAGGCCCAGCCACAACCGCTGCCTGTGTTCTGATGGGTGTCTCCCACCCTGAATGTCTGAGGTCTGGCTGTGGTTGCTCTAGGAACACTTGTGTGTAGGTCAGATCTCTGGTGGGTTTTACCACAACGGCTTTGGCACACTTATGTGAGCAATAGGTCTTCATTGCTGCTGGCTGGAAGGCTTGGCCTTGACTACTGAGAATGCTTTAGTGTGTGGAGATTTGCTCCTAAAATGGGAGCCACTTTAGAGAGAGTACTGATACCATCTGAGGCCATCTACTTGGTGTGGTGGTGCAGGACCTGCTTTGAAGGGCTCTGATGCTATCTGAGCACATCCCTTCAATTATGACATGGTGAGGGCCATTTTTTGAGATATACTAGTGCCTGCTGAATCTGCATGCTGGGTGTAGGTCTGGAGATGTTTTGGGTGAGTTTTGGTATAGGCTGAGGGTGCCTGCTTTTTTGTAATAGAGTGGGAACCACTTTGGAGGGGTGTAAGTTAGGGTAGACAGGTTGAGTGGTCAGCTTCTCTAAAACACCAGTCTGGAATAAACTGGTGTTTTAGAGACCAGTTAGTAACAAGGTTAATTGAGAATGTCAAAAATGGCACCTCTCAGCTAGGTGGAAGGAAAATTTTTTAAATGGTACTTAGATAGCACTTGTATTTGTTTTTGTAATTTGTGGACAAAAACTACATAGAGGTGCTAAATATAAAACCTCTTTTGCAAGAATTCATTGTTCAGTATGAGTTTTGATATATATGAGAAGAAACATTATAAAAAAAATAGAAATGGTACCTGCAAATACTTCCATCCCTATAGAAAGTTCCAACAGATACCTGCTCTTCCAGCTCTTGTCTTAAGATTGATCAATGTATCTCCTTCATATAGGACCCAGGCGTTTTTTAGACTGGTGCATCTCTGTGCTGGGAGTCATTGTGAGGGATTTTGTGTATAAGTTCATTTTAAAACTATATTTTTAGCCCTAGCTGGTTTGGCTCAGTGGATAGAGCATTGTCCAGTGGACTGAAGGGTCCCAGTTTCAATTCCAGTCAAGGGCACATGCCCAGGTTGTACACTCGATCCCCAATGAGGCATGCGCAGGAGGCAGCCAATTAATCATTCTCTTTAATCATTGGTATTTCTATCTCTTTTACCCCTCTCCCTTTCTCTCTGAAATCAATAAAAATATATTTTAGAAAACCACAGAAGTATATTTTTATTAATTTTATAGAGAAGAGGGGAGA